ATTATCATATAATAATAAATTAAATTAATTTAATTTAAAAATTTTATTAATTAATTAAATTTAATTAATTTAAAAAATATTAAAATTCAAACCAACCTACAGCAAACACTACTACTAAAAAGTAGCACCTAACTCTTTTATTTTTTTTTTTACTTAAATTAATACATAAAATATGTATTTCAGATCCCTTATTTTGCGTCTAAAAATATAGATTAAATAAATTCCCCATTAAATTTACTGAAAAGTTGAAAACAGCTGTGATACACTCAAATTCAAATTAAACCTTTGGTGTAGTGTTGGATCCGTTGGGTCTTGAGATTCTCAATCACGTTATACACGCGTGAAGTATGTAATGGGTCCCACTGCCCACCTGCAACATCGATGAAGTAATAATTATTCAAATTTTGGGCGTAAGTGAAAATGGCCGACACAATCATTCTAAAGTTTAAAATAATTTGGGAGATATCATTATTCATTTTTTATGTGGTTCATTACAATCAACCAGAAATCCTCTCATTTTCCTGCTATTCACTTGTCTAGTTTACCCTCCCTCCCTCTTCAGAATTTGGTTCAGAGGAAGTCATGGAGAGCATCGATCCTTTCCGCCATCGACATCCTTTGGTGCTTGTGGATCAAGAGCCGGGTGATCATGGAAGTCGAAAAGGTTTTTGTTCTGGATGCAAAAAGGCAGTAGGGGGTTATTGTGAAGATTGCGAGAAAGTAGCGGAGGGTTATTGTTCTGGATGCGAGGAAGAATTAGAGGGTTCCAGCTACGGTTGTGGTGAGTGTGGGTTTTTCCTTCATAAGAATTGTGCTGAGCTACAAACGGAGATCATTAATCACCCCCTCCACTCCCAGCACCCTCTTACTCTTAGTTGGAATCATTATGCTTTTCGTTTTATTAGATGTAGTGTTTGCAGGAAAAGTGTTAGATTTTTTTATCGATGCAATCGTTGTCATTTTTACCTTGACCTTAGATGTGCTATGCATCCTCAATTTGTTGCTCAAGAGTTTCAAAAGCTTCAACATTTTAGCCACGATCATCCTTTGATGCTTGTTGAAGATATTGAAATTCAAAACAAAGAAGAAGTCTGCTCAGGATGTAGGGAAAACATGTACAAGTCAAGTCCATTCTACTGTTGTCCCAATTGCATATTTCACCTTCACAAGAAATGTGCAGAGTTGCCTCTTAAGGTCAATCACCCTGCCCACCGGAAACACCCTCTAAAGCTTTTGGCTAAACCCCCAGCACATCGAGAGAAATGTTCTTGTCATTTGTGCACCAAGTCTTATGAGGGATTTGTTTATTATTGTTCTGTTTGTGAGTTTGATTT